AGAGTGTATTTTAAGCTATTGAACATTTATTTCATTTTATATTGTTTTCTTGTTTATTTTATTAAAAAAAAAATGTTAAATCCACATTAATAATGTTTTCAAATTTAAATCGAAATATAATCAGTAATGTACAACATGTTGATAACAGCGATTTTAATTGGAATATAAAAACATTTCAGGCTGTTTCTACATAAAAAATATATGATTACTCTTGTCTTTGTAATTAAAAATATCGTAAAAACAAAATGAACAAGAAATATTAAATACCGTTTATTTTTATCTTTTTTATCTTTTTTATCTTTTGCATAAAACATTATTAGTTGTTTTTTCAAATATTAATTTTATCTTTCAAAAACTTATATAGGGATGTTGAATTCAGTTCAGAAGATATTATATATACAATAAAATTTTGTAAATCACGTTATATTGTACACACCTGTATCGATTATCATTAAACCATCTTTTACAAACTTTGTAATAATCTTATATAAATTTTTCTTTATTTACTTGGGCTTGTAGTATTAAAACTAAAACAGTCGCAACAGATGTGATGAACTAAAATTAAAAATAATTTATAAAACAACTTGTGAGTTCTTTTTTAAATATTTGTCATTTTAATTTGTAGTACGTAATTATATGATAAATATAATGTACTTTATAAAGAAATTTAAAACCAAACTGAAAAAATCCAATTCCATAGAATCTAAGAGGAGGATGAACTATTCGTAATGAAAATTGTGAAATCTGTGTAAAAAATATAATATTAGTGTAATATTAGTTTAATGTATATTTTTTATCTTTTATATTTATTTATATTTACTTTAATAATAATTTTAATGAATTTATAATTTAAAACTTACAATTTCACGAATTTCAATATCACAAGTAACATATGATAATCTGTTTAATAAATCTGCTGTTGCACTTGCCTAAAATTGTAATGTATGGTGAATGTAATTGTTAAAAAATATAATTAAAGAAACTTCTAATTTTAAAACTATATGTCAATAATTGTCTTTGAAATTGTTTATGTACCGTGAACAAATTTTAAGCTAATATTTTTTGAAGTTTAAAATAATTTTATTTACCTTGGTGGTGATTGTTTCACATATATAATTAATAATCAGGAATTTACAAATATTATTAGACAAGCAGAATGTATGAAAGATGATAGTCATTATTTTAGGTTTGACATAATTCTTGAGAAGTATTGGATATAAAAGTTCGCGCAAGTCATGTGCTATCCAACCAAAATAGCATGCCATTTTGATAGTCATTTGGGTTCCAAATATTGAATCTATTTCATGAGATATTTTACGTAGCTCTAAGTAAAGGTGTCTGGACATGCAAACATAAATTAGATTTTATTTCATGTACACTGTTATTGTATTTATAAACGTTACATTTTTTCCAAAATGTTACCGTCATTAGTAGAATTTACATAAAGTTTCTTACATAGAGATCCACGTTTTACTGCTTAATGATTTCGAAAATCTATCTTGATGAGGATATATTCTGTTATTTTCCCGTGCCCGTATTATTTTGTGTTTTTGAGTTTTCATCAAATTCTGAATATGATCATTGATTTGATCAAACTTTAATTCTATGTATCTGAACATAAAAAAAGTAAATAGAAATTGAATAGCTGCGTTTTCATACTTTCAAAATTTTCTTTTACTTTAGAAATTTTTTAATGTTCTTGCATTATTATTTAATTTTATACAGGATGTTTTATAAATGCATGTCAGTATTTTAGGAGATAAATTTATATACTGAAATAAGTAAAAAATGAACATATGTCCTATCTTATGTTAATTGTCCTATATCTTATGTTAATTTTCAAATTATGGATGGTTAAGAAAATATTCGAAATGCCTGCCTTGTGCATCAATATACGCTACTGCACGCCTTAGTATTGAGTTCCGCATTCGTTCAAAAATATCAAGTATTCTTCGAGTAGTATTTTAATTCTTATTCATTTCGTGTGATAATCCTTTCTCGTAGATTATCCACATTATTTGCTGGCGTTGAATACACATAAAATTTTGGCCTCAAAAATACAAATTTGATAGATTGAGATTAAGAGATCGTGAAGGCCATCGGGTGGGTCCGCTTCGCCCTATCTATCGGTTACAAAAGGAATGTTCTCATTTCAAGATGAAAATGAATATGCGCATCATCGTGCATAAACCACAAATTTTGCCTGATTGCCAAGATTTCCATGACTGCCTGAAATTCTGTCCATGTATTGTATTGATGTATTGTATTTTTTGTAAACATTAAATAATCAGATGTCCAGACATGTTAAGCTATACAATGTGTTAACGCATAAGTCGGAAATTTCGAACATTTCCCTTAATCATTTATAATTTGAAAACTAAGGTATTTAGGATATATGTTCATATTTTTTAATTTATTTTAGTGTATTATAGATTTACCATCTAAAGAACTGACATGTATTTATAAAGCATCCTGTACATTTACATGAATAATTATGCTAGAAGATAAATATAATTGTAGATATATTTAAAAATGTGTACTAACTTGAGGATACTTGCATTAGTCAAATCACCCATAAAATTAATATGAAAACAATAATCTCGTAAAAAGCTGAAATATATAATTGACATAATGTTACCGCCATTTTTTTCTTTTAATTTTAATGTTGAGAAATACGTCGTTAATATAACTATGACGATCCATCCTAAGGCATACCACATTACTTTTCTGCGTAGCTTGTCATAATCTGTCACTATTCCCAACTTAAACAATGTGTTGTCGATAATATCAAATCTCTTCAAACAATTTTGAAATTTCTGTCCAGAATAGAATATGAAATAGATATATAAATTATGGTAAATATTCTGATTAAAGGAGCCAATTCCATTTTGACGTATTGTCAAGATTATGACTTTGAGTGACCTTCAAAAGATTTTAGTCGCTTGTCGTTGTTTGTTAAAAAGTTATTAATAAATATTGTTTATATAATATAAACATATATATATATATATAAAACTTGATATACATTTTACTTAGTATAAATATCATCAAATATTACATTTAGTTATATTTGTAATAATATATTTTCGTAATAAAGTATGTATTTGTGTACGTATATTAATAAATGATAACTTCACATTTAATTACAATTTTCGTGTAATATATTATTTTTTCGTACATAATTATTTAATTACAATTTTTATATAGTATTTAATCAATTTTTATTTTTAATTTACGATTTGGATGATAAAGAAACATGGAAAGCCACGGAAAAAATTTGAAGTTGCATAATTGGAAGCATTATTTGATGAAGATGCATGTCAAACAGAAAAAGAATTGGCAACAGCATTAAATGTTATTCATCAATGCATTTCCTTATGTCTGCGTGCAATGGGAATGATTCAAAAGCAAGGAAGTTGAATGCCAACAAATTGAAAGAAAGAGAAATCATGCGAATTGTTGCTGCAACGACAAAAGAAAGGATTTTTTACATTAAATTAATACTGGCGATAAAAAATGAATTTACTATGACAATTCTAAACGTAACTCAACATGAGTTAAGTAAATCAATCCGCAATCAAGCAAAACATCCATTACAAAGTTATGCTGTGTATCTAGTGGGATATGAGGTGTGATATATTATGAGCTATTGTAACCGTTTGAAACTATCTCTGGTGAACGGTACTGATTACAATTAATACATTTGAACTAAGCTGTGAAAGAAAAACGATCGGGAGAATAGACGTGACAAAATAATGATTATGCGTTTCGTGGGTTCTTCTGTGTCCAGATCCATTCTTGGAATGTTAATGTTTCGTGAACCTTGTAGTCCATTTCATCAGGGCGAGAAGCAGCCTGATATGTATAACCTGCGAAACGCATAATTTTTATATAGAAAGCACCCGTGGAAGCTTCAAGAATATGACAAAATAATTTTACAGTATGATAACGCCAAACTATATGTTCATGGATTCAAGAATTATATATATTATCTAGGAGTAAACTGGGAGATTTTACCTCACCCTCCGTATTCATAAACATTGCTCTCTTAGATTTGTTCCAGTCCATGGCGTCTCTTTCTGGAAAGCGATTCAGTTCTTATGAAGAAATCAGAAATTGACTTGGAAATAACTGAATCTCTTCAAAACAATCAGACTTCTATCAGCATGAAATTCGTTTATTGCCTGAAAGATAGGCCAAGGTTGTGGCTTCCGATATAGCATACTTTGAATAAAATAAAAATTATTTTTATGTTTCAAATCAATGCGTTTTTTTAATCAAAAAATCCATAAAGTCATATTTGTACACCCAATACAATGTCCTTTTTATTTTTTGTTTTTTGCTTTTTGCTATTTTTTACATCTTGTCTTTTTGCTTCTTATCCAGTTTTTTGTTTTATCATCGAGATAAAAATTGACGAACTTCGGAAGAAACACGTAACAAAAAATACAATTGTTGATAAAACAGTTGTAAACGGACAAGAAGCAACAAGTAAAAAGCAACAAATAGGAAATAAAGAGCATATTGTAGAATAGGTTAAAAAGAAATTGTACATTTTCTTGCGATTTTTGCAAAAAAATACATTTATTATAATTATTAGCAATAACTGTTTCTTAATCAATGTCAATGATTTTTTATAAGAATTCTTTGACTTTAAATGTGTATTCAAAGTTAAAATTTTTCACTTGTTGCTTAAACTACAATAATTCTAACTTTTCCAAATTTGCGCCAAGTAGATTCTTTGGGCAAAGTAGATGGAGGCAAAGCGAATGGCCAATCCTTAGTGATTGTACTGAAAATACCGGGAAGACGGAGGAATAAATCTTTCGAGTGAACGAAAAGCACATGATTGTTTACATTCTCATTTTTGTTTATTTTCCACAACGCAGTATGATACATGTGTTCTGAAGAATACACCGATTCATCATCCGAAAACTACGTATAATCAATGAATCAAATAGGCTCATTAAGGCGCTATACAGGGTGTCTTTCTGTATATATTATAGAGTAAAGCTGCACTGGAGGTATAGAATAGATCAAGAGGAATGAAAAGGTCTTATACCATTTTAGTATAATGGCCGCTATATATAGAGAGAGGCGCGATGGGTGCTATGAATTTGCGCGGCTTCATTGCATATTAGCTTAGATATTTATTTTTGTAATTCGAAAATTACAATGAATATCTCAAATTGGTACAAGACCTTTTTCCTTTAACCTATTCTACGCCCCCAATGCGGCTCCCACCCTATTTTTGAGACACTCTGTATATAGAGGATGTGGTAGCTATTTTTTTGACCAATATTGACTTTGATTTTTTAAAATTCCATTCTTATTGTTCGAATGATCCACTTTGTCCAGGGATGTCAACCAAAGCGGATGATTTCTCTTTTTTTACGTTTTGATTAAAAAGACATTTAAATGTTTAAGTTTTTTAATTTAATTTTATTTTATTTTAGTTTGATGTAATTTCATTGATAAAATTATGAGAATAAAAAAAGATTTCTGATCTTTCACTCACTTTTCTTTCCAAACCTTAATGCATCCGCTTTATCTGGACTTTCTCTATATTAGCGATTTGCTAACTCTCTCGGAATTCTGATCAGTACACATTCAGTTGTATTATAGTAAGTATTGTATTTAGTAAGTTATACCTTGTTTTTTTCTTACTTTATCTCATGTTCTTTATTAATGATAGATGCATGTGTGCGAGTCCTAACTCTTACTAGAGGAACTCTAGTTTCGATGTCTGAACGAATATCTACTACAATCCTTCTTCTTATAGGGTAAAATAAAGTTTAAAGTGTAAAGTCACTTGTTGTAGGCTCCTAATTAAGACAACAGTGTTTCTGCTAAACTACTAAGCACATGCGATTGATTTCATGAACTTATTACTCTTGGGGCCAAATCTATTTAATAGAAAATTCATTATTTAGATGGTGAACTTAATTCCTGTCATTTTTTCGTCTTCAAAATTGATTTGTTTTGAAGGGAAGACGAATGAATAATCAAAGTAATTTCTCCCATTTTCCACTACTTTTTCCCACCTCTCCGGCAATAGAGCAACGGCAGTAAAACGCGGTATCTTTCGAGGCGATCCATTCCACCCATTTTTGGACTTCTTCGTAACTGGAGAAGTGTGTGTAAGTGCATGTTGCATCGACCAGAAGAGATCGGTAATCCGACAGTCAAATCTGGAGAGTATGCTGGATGCGTCTTCCCATTTAAGCTCTAGAACTGTCTGCTTCACGTTTTTCGCAACATGCAGTCGAGCTTTATT